CGTGGCTCATCAGTGCTGCCACTGCTTGGCCTTGCCTCAGAGAGTTGCATAAAGTATCATATTTGGCTTGGAAACATGGTCATGACACTCTACACTTTTCATGGCTTTGGTTACATCATCTATTGGGCAGTTACCAATCAAATTTCTCAGGTTAACTAAGACTAAGATCTACTTACAATATATACATTCACCTATATATATATATATATGAGTTCGCTTTTTTTGCAGTTACGCAGATAAGTTATCTGCACTAAGCCCAATACGACGTCGTTTTGGGCGGAAATCATAGTGTTTTTGTAATTTTAATTTATTTCGGGGTTATTATAGTCTTTATAATTATAATTTTTTAATCCTTCAATCTCAAAACGACGTCGTTTTGGAAGTAAATGCAAATAACTTATCTGCATTAACTGCAGAAATATTTTTCTCTATATATATCAGGTTTTTGACTTTTTTTATAACTTCTGTTTTTTTTAAAAAAAATAGGCATCTAAATGCACTTTATAATAGGTGTTTTTTTTTTGAAAAAAATGTAACTTTTAACTAAAAAAGCTCATCCAAACGGGATTTTAGTTCACTGGCACCAACTGAGCTACCATCATTTGGTGGTTCTAATTTTTTAGTTATGTGAACCCTTAGATAAAATGGGTCAATGAACAAAATTAACTTTAAAATTTATTATTTTCTCCTAAGAGACCCTTTGATTTAAGTGCAACATTTTTTTAACAGATGTGCGTCCCACGACGCAAGATGTGTTTATATCACAAAATATTTATCTCCTATTGCATGAGAAAATCAAAACTCATATATATTGAGAATATTGTTTCTTATGCAACATACAAAAAAAATGGGTGAGACCCATCAAAGAGAAAAAAAATAAAGGAAATAAATGAATCTCATCAACTTTTTGATATTTGCATGAGATAAAATATAGGAAAATAATTGTCTCCATGTTGCATGAGATAATTATCTCATGCAACAGAGACAAAATAGTGGGGTCCATTGTTTCTTTTTTTAAATATAGTGGACCCCATAATTTTATCTCTGTTGCATTAGATAATTATCTGATCTGATGCAACATGAAATTAATAGATCCCTAAAATATATTCTCATATATACTCAGAACATGTCCTCTGAACGTCATTTTATATGATTTTTTGTCTGTATGGGGCCATGGCTTTGTTTCATTGCAGATGCTGAAATGGTCCAAAGTTGGGATATCAAATGTGGCTGGAGAGATAGCTTTGTTTTTTGGTTTGTTCAGCTGGGTTGCAACCATTCCATGCATTAGGCGAAAAGCCTTTGAGCTCTTCTTCTACACTCATCACCTCTACATCCTCTTCATAGTCTTCTACATCTTTCATATCGGCATATCTGATGCCTGCGCTATGCTCCCTAGTTTCTACCTCTTCTTGGTTGATCGTTACTTAAGGTTTCTGCAATCAAGGCGCCAAGTTCGTTTGGTTTCTGCTCGTGTTTTGCCATGTCATACTGTAGAACTCAACTTCTCTAAGGGCCATGGTAATTAACAAGGCTATCCTAGTTCAGTATCTTGAAGTTACCTCTTGTTACTTCTTGATAAGTTACAAATTTTTATATTATTTTGTGACTTTTTAAGAGCTAAAGTGATATGTTTTTGGCAGGGTTAACTTATAATCCCACAAGTGTGATGTTCATAAATATACCAAGCATATCCAAGCTGCAGTGGCATCCATTTACAGTTGTTTCTAATAGTAACTTGGAGCAAGAAATGCTTAGTGTTGTCATTAAAAGTGAAGGAACTTGGACCCAGAAGCTCTACCAGTTACTTTCAACTCCTTCCCTAATAGATAATCTTGATGTATCTGTTGAAGGTCCTTATGGACCTGCTTCAAGTAATTATCTAAGGTCTGCATCTTAGAAGCAAAACAAAACTATAAAACCAATTTGGAGTTATTAATTACATTTTGCTTCATTAGACATAAGTTCTTTGATTTCCACATACTGACTTTTTCTTATTTTAAAAACAGGCATGACACTCTAGTGATGGTGAGTGGAGGAAGTGGCATAACACCTTTTATATCCATCATTCGAGAACTAATATATCTGAGCACTACATTCAAATGCACAACCCCAAAAGTTGTCCTGATTTGTGTATTCAAGAACTCTTCATGTCTGTCAATGCTAGATTTGATACTCCCAATTTCTGGCTCCCCTTTTGACATTTCTAGTCTGCAACTACAAATTGAGGCCTACATCACAAGAGATAAGGAGCTTAAGAGAGACAACCCAATTAACCTTCAAACTATACGGTTCAAGCCAAATCCAACTGATGCACCCATATATGCTGTATTAGGTCCAAACAGTTGGCTTTGGCTTGGTGCTATAATATCATCCTCTTTCATCATTTTCCTTATAATAATTGGTATTATTAACCGTTACTACATTTTCCCCATCGATCATAACTCGAATCAAATATTCTCATTTCCTTTGAGGTCGTTCCTTGACATGCTAGCAATATGTGTGTCCATAGTCATTGTTGCTAGTGCAGCAGTTCTTTGGAACAAGAAACAAAATGCTAAAGACGCAAACCAGATTCAGAACTTGGAAGGGTCACCACCAGCAGTGTCACCATCAATGATTTACAACAATGCAGATAGAGAATTGGAAAGTCTTCCATATCAGTCCCTTGTTCAAGCTACCAACGTTCATTTTGGTGCAAGACCCGACCTAAGAAGTAAATCACCTCCATTTTCTTTAACTATGGTCTAGAAACCCATCAATGGATTGAGATCACTTATTTTTTTATTTTCTTTTTACAGGACTGCTATTGGAATTCAAAGGACCGAGTGTGGGAGTTCTTGTTTCAGGACCCAAGAAAATGAGGCAGGAGGTTGCAGCAGTTTGCTCATCTGGTTTAGCTGAAAATCTGCATTTTGAGTCCATTAGCTTTAGCTGGTGATTTTACTCATACTGTGTTGTAAAGGGTGCAAAACATTAATGAACAACCTCTATAGTATGAGCTAGTAGTTTCAGCCAGCCTTGATGAACTTACTAGTTTTATTGAATAAATGTACATTGCTTTGTCAACAATAATTGGAATTTAGTTTATAGCATATATGTTAGGCTCTCAAGTTGAGTAAGTAAAAGATTGACAAAGAATGAGAGTATATTGAGATCAGATTAAAAGAGATGACACAATTAATTCTTAGTGCAGTTTAAGGCATAACAGGACCAGACCGCGTATAACATTGTCAAAAAATTTAAGTACTCCGGGCCTACACGCTCCTTTTATTAAAATGTTGACAATTGAATAAAAAAATAATTTTCTTCTCTCCTCTCTCTCTCTCTTGGTCATTATGTAATTTTAATTGATTCGAACCGCTAAATGTCCCGTACCAACACTAACACACTCCATGATAAAAAGTAAGAATTGATGCCCCATTTTGACATTATTTTTTAAAGGACATGATAATTTAACATCAGTTTCAAACTAGAAAATTAGACATTAAATCTTAACTGTTAATTTTTATCAATCTAATGATTATAATTTATTAAAAATTATTAATTAACTAATAAATATAACTCAATAAATTATAATTATTAGATTCATGAAAATCAACCGTTAAAACTTGGAGTCAAGTTTTTTTAAGATATATTTCTTAATTTTTTTCCCAAAAGTTATTATTTCTAACTTTTATAAATAGTTTTAAAATTTTTTTTTTTGTTTTTTACTTTTTAAAAAAATATTCAATTATCATAAAACTTTTTATAAAAATATATTTTAAGAAAAAATATAAACATACGGTTATCTTATATACTCTTAAAAAATGGTGAATGTTGTAAAAACAAACTTCATTAGGTGCATGTATTTTACATTTTAGCATATTTAAAGTGAAGAACCTAAAGTTGGAACAGTGACCAAAATGTCACATTTTGCCAAAATTTTTACGCAAATGACACACGAACAAAATTTTTTACCATGCTGCCACATGTCATAATTTGCTATCACTGGTAGCGAATTTCGTGACCAATAATTTCGTGACACATTGTCATATTAAAGACCAAATTCGCTATCACTAATAGCGAATTATGACACATCAATTTTTTCTTGCGAAAATGTATCATATGTCATAAAATCATTAGCGAACATAATTTACTATCAGTCATAGCGAATTGTTCACGTATCATTTAAATAAATTTTTTGTAAAAAAAATGACATTTTGGTCATTATTGCCCTAAAGTTGGTGGAATAACGGTAACGGATACAACCAACAGTAGTTGGTTGAAAGCGACCTCCAACTCGAAAGCGAAGATGGCCTATTCCCTAGAAATGACATTGCTAAATCCCTAGGACAAGCAATGGCCAATGGTATTGGAAGAAGGAATAAAAAGCTGCTGAAGTTGCAGGAGACTTAAAGCTGCACCAGGATCACCACATGACAACATTTGTCAAGTTTTTACGAATGGAATCAGCTGACCTAGGTTGTTTTTTAAGAGTTTCAGTAAGTAATTTCAATGCTTTGAGGTAGGATCCTTTGATACCGGTGTCAAATTTTAATTTTGACACTTCATCTGATAGCCGTTAGATCAAAAAAGATCAATGGTGTCACATGCTTGCAAATCAGAGTCGTTGATCTTTTTTGATCTAACGGCTCTCAGATGAGGTGTCAAAATTAAAATTTGACACCGATGTCAAAGGATCCTACCTCTACTTATTTATGTAACTAATTGGTCAGTTTACTATTTTGTTTGAGAAATAATTTCAGATCTGAAAAGAATTAAGCATGCATATTGAAATATAAATAAATAACATTTTCATCATATATTGGACAATCATTAGGTCTAGCGTTCAAATTCAAAATGTGACTGTTAAATTTTATTTACATTATGAAAAGTGAGAGTTACATATTAATAAAGTAACCAAGTTTTCGGTTACCAAAAAAAAAAAAAAAAAGTAACCAAGTTTTCTTAATTCAGAAAAAAAATAAATTAGGAACTTCCTAAATGGATGATGCCATATAATTCACTCAATGTAAAACTTTTTATATTGTTGGTAATTAAAAATTAAAATCTAAGCCAAACGACCCAACCAACTAGTATTACTTACAAAACTGCTTCGGTTGAGAACTATGATAAATCAATATACCTGAAGACCTTGTACTAGTAAAAACTAAAGCTTATCATGTCACTTGGTAGAGGTGTCTTGCCATGTGCTTGAGTGGCTCACAGCCATTATTCTTAATGATGTGAACTGCCTGCAGGAGAATTTCTTGTCCTGCAGAGTACAACTCATCTTTGCACTGTAAGAAAGGGAAATATCACATAAGTATGAGGGATTAAAATATGCAGTCAAATTTGGGGGAATTTAAGCATGAAGATGCATCACGGAAACAAAATATTGCCTAAAACAGCACTAGATAACTAAGAAAGAAAGATAGAAAGCAGGACCCTGAATCATTGTTGGAAAAATCAGAACTTTCAATATAAACAAGAAATAAGAGATAAGGGCAACCTTACACAAAAAGTTACTAAATATTGTGATTGGAGACAAATAATATTTTCCATCTCTTCAGCTTTATATTTTCTGGTCAGCATGTGCACACGTGTTGTTATATAGCTTGAAGTATATAATTGGCTCACTTGCTATCAACTTTGGGGCGATTGTTAGAAGTTTGTTACGTTATTCCGTGGAATCCAAAGGAGGAAATGAATTATTCGACATTTGGTTCAAGCTTTCAAAAAAAGTCCCAGGAAAATGATATGCCCACATTCTGGTCCATTTTCATTCCCATGAGGGGTTGAGTAGGCGAGTAGCTGCTACTCCCATGAAGGAAGCATCAATCCTACTTTGCAGAAATACAAAATTATAGACCCATTAATCTCTAACTCCCAAGTTCCACTTGCCACTCCCTCTTTCTTCCCCCTGCTCTCTCTCTCTCTCTCATACTAGCATTTTCTTAAGTCTGTCCATTTTACTCCATGCAGTTATAGCCATCTAACAACTTGGCTTACACCATCCCTTTTATCACTTCTTTAGAGTAAAATGGGCAATTGTCTTGCACTTTGTAAACAAAGTTCAGGATCTTGCATAGCAGTTGCCACGGCAACGAGGAAAAAGTTGTAAGGGTAGCCAAACCTGAAGGTAAGATACTAGAGTTTAGCTCCCCAATCCACGTAAAGGACATTATGACAAATATTCCTGCTCATGGTATTGGTGTTTCAAAGAAGGCCGCAAAGCCTCTCTCCCCAGATCATGAATTGAAGGCAGGAAGGTTATTGTAATGCTTTGTATCAAATTCATAATTGGTACAGATAAATACTATAAAATAAATACTTGATACTTGCTTTTAAGTATGATTATAATCATCTTGCTGCTTCTTCTTTTTTCCATTTTTTTATCAATTACATTTAAAAGAATAAAATTTAAATAATTATTTATATATTAAGGGCATTTTCAGAATTATCACAAATATTCCTAGGAATACGCAATTAAACCAAACAAACTTTTTTAAGTTGTACCCAAGAATTCCAAAAAAGATTCCCAGGAATTTTAAATGCTAACCAAACAGATTTTTCTAAATACCCAAGAATAGCATTTCCGGTCGTAGTATCCCTAGGAATGTGATTCCAAGGAATATAATTAGATACTTTGAAACAAATACCCCCCTTAAGTATTCAGGACCAATTTATAATCAGTAATCCAGTAGGAATCAGAACTAATTTGCATACACTTCATCTCAGATCAAGTGAATAAAAACATCAGCTATTCAATTTCAAAACTAAAATTTTGAGCTTAGAGATCCCCTTATCTCTATTTTGCAACTTATCAGAAAATCAAATGATGCGAGACTCCTTGGGCAGTTAGCCATGCCATTATTTCCACTGCATGATGCTATTTTTCTATTAGATATTTAATCTATTATCTAATTATTGGTGATTGCAATTTAGGCACAGTATCTTTTGCATAGTCCCTTGATCAGTCAAAAGAAATGTAGAACAAGCTGAAAATCCAAACAAAATAAATGCAATACACAATGAAGCAAAGGTAACTTCAAGATAATTATAACATCTCCCTATCGTAGTTCTTAGCTAGCACACACCGTAGGCAATGGGATGGTGTTTCATTATGCTTGTATGTCAATTTCTCATAATTAAAGTCATCTAAGAATAATTCTTCAAAATGCATTTCACAAACAAAAAGGATTAACTGTATATGTAACAAGCATAATAGGATAAATTCAGAGATTCAGATGAGTGACATACCATGCGTTTGAGGTTATATCTAAGAGTCAATCCTTTACACGACAAGCAACAGGAAGGAACGTCTTTTCCTAAGAAAACTTTTGCATTTGATCTTAGCATGCTTTCTACATCATCTGATATCTGGGGAATCTTACTTAAATCCACAGTTTGCATAGGAATTATAGTAATAATGGCTCGACATTCGGCACGGGACTCGTTCACTATAGGCTACAAACAGGAAAGAGGACCGTAAATATGATAACTGAAGCAGCAAGTAGATCATAATCTTAAGATTAAAAGCTTAAGAAAGAAACATTCTAATAGAGATAAAGGCAATAGATTTTTCATCCGTTTGTGTGCATGCAGAAGTGTAGATTGAGTTGCGAGCTTCAAAATTTACATATCCTTTGGAGGATAAGTTTCCTAGCAGAAATAAAAATTTAAGATATATAGGAGCAATCAATAAAGTTAATCAGCCATCTTAGCCTCATTTTATAAACTGATGAAATGAATGGTTAGACAAATCAAAGAACAACATCCAACAGAATCTAACCATGAAGGAGCACAACGCATTACCAAATTATTTGAGCAAGTGAATAAAAAAACCACTTCCCATGAAATCCCAACTTGCAAGAGTGTGAGTGAGGAAAATCCTTGTATACAACCTTACCCTTGCATTTTTATAAAGAAGTTGTTCCCTAGATTTAGACATGTGAGTCGTGACCGTAAGATCACAAAGGAGCAGTTTTACCACTGCTCCACCATTTAAGAAAAAGAATAATGAAATTAAAAAAAATCTTATCTGTTTCCAACAGTGGTAAAATTGTTCCTTTATGACTGAAAGTTCATGGATTCGAATCCAAGAAACAGCCTCTTTGCAATTATGCAAGGGTAAGGCTGCTTACAAGGATTTCCTGCACCCAACACTCGCTAGTCGGGTTTAACGGGGAGTGATTTTTTTTTGTTTCCAACATTTTTCCCTCTTCATGATAAGTAACAAATATATATGTTTTGAAAAACAAGCACATGTTTCTTCCCTGATGTATTCATATTTATCTTCTTCCTTACTGACAAATTTAATTAATTGCAACCTGGTGTTATAAAGCTACGACTATGTGCAGAATCCTGGGAAGGATCATGACTTCAAAAACGCGACGTAGATAAAAGATCACTGCAATCTGCCTAATACGATGATGAATGACAGAATTATACATAAATTTAAGCAACAAGAAGCCTGCTCAAATAATTGCTGGGAAAATCAAACAACAGAACTATAACTTGATGAGTCATTGGAGAAAAGAGAATACTCTTGGTTGAAATACAAGATTCAAATATGAGCAACAGATATGTAGTGAGCATTTCCCAACAAGTTGTATATCTTTTGTATGATATATTTGTGCCAAAGATCAACAAGATTGATTTGCAATGTTTAAGCATTCAGAACAGATTTGGCTCTCTTAAAGTCACTGCATAGATGCAGTTAGAGATAGAAAGAAACAATAAAGTATGTTCCACTAATTTTAATTTTGGGACTCGTTTCTCTGCATTGCTATCATGATTGGGGGGGAAAGGAAGGCCCACCTGGCTAGTAAAAAAAGAGTTTGGCACAATGACTGGAAACTTCTCAGAAGTCCGCAATGACGTGGTAGTAAGACCCATCTCCACCACTTGACCCTCTATCGAGCCAGCCTGTAATTTGTATAATTTCACAGACACATTTAAGAAATATAGAATGTAAACAAGGGCAGACCTACATTAAAGCTTGGTGATGGAAGCCTTCATAATTTCCAAATTTTGTAACATTTTATTTGCATTTCACTAATAATCTCATAATATACATGTTAGGGCCCTCCAATTTTTATTTAATTTATTGTAAAAACCTCACCTAATTTTATTTTGTTTTGGCCCTTACAATCTTTTTACCCTAATTCTTCCCCTGGATGTACATAGAACATCTATATAGTATAGGCACTACAAACTACATAATACATATTGGACAATTGGAACAAAGCACCAGCAATGACTACAACATTATTATTACCTAATTTGTAAGTATAAAAGAATAATTGCCATTCCTCACCTTAAAAAACATAACTGCAAATAGGCCATTCAAGTGCAAAACAGATAGCGATACCATGGTTCAGAAAATAACTTTTCCCATAAAAAGTAAAACAGGACCAATTATTAATTTGCACCTACTAAATCAGCATACTTGTATTATATCTCCAGTTGAAAAGGGCTTTGAAAACTGCAAATATAAACCACCGAACACATCGCGAAAAATGTCTGTAGCAACGAAAGCAGTAGTGTTGTAAATATTTGTTATTTTATTATTATTATTAGTATTTGTTGTATTGGGCCAAACCCATTAGGTTAAGAATTAGGTCAAGTATTAGGGTTTTCATTCTCTATAAATAGAGACCTCTTTGTACAGATTATTTACACAATTCAATAATATTTCAAATACCCTTTTCTTTCAAGTTGGTATCAGAGCTCTCGATCCTGAGGGCTCTGCTTCCGCGCCTACAAAACCTTTTTTATTCTTTTTTACGTCTCTCGCTGCCATCAGCCGCCACCGGAAAAAATTTTCCGGGGACCTCTTGGACCGAGAAGACCATTGCTTCACTGTTCCTCTTTCTTTTTCCTTGTCTATTACACAACAAGAAAAAAAAGGGTTCACAGAATCAACGTTCAAAACTTAGAACCACCGTACAGAACCTGTTCATCGCGATTGGACTCTTTTTCCGGCGGATTCTTCACTCCGAACAGCCACAGAAACCATCGCGCTCGCCGGACGACCTTTGCCTGAAAAACCCAGCACCATCAGAGGTCAGACGCGCCGCCCTTGTCTCTGCTCGTGAATCCCACGCGCCGCCAGCTTCACCGGCGCGTGACGGTGGTTCTCGGCCGCGGACCACCACGGTTCTGATCGTCTCTCCAAGCCGGCTCTGGATCTGTGCTCTCCACTTTGATCGGACATCGTTTGGTATTTTTTTCCGAATTTCTTGGCTTCTTGGAGTTTGTTCTTTCACCAATTTCTTGCCTCCGACCAGATCTGACGTTGTTTGGTATTTGTTCCGGCCACTGTGTTACTGTTTCGGCCGCTGTGTTACTGTTCCGGTCAGATCTGACGTTGTTTAGTATTTGTTTGTGATTTTTTGGCTTCTTGGTGCTATTCTTTGACAAGTTTTGTGCAGTATGGCCTCTTCTCAAAGGAGTTCCTTTACAAAGTTTTCTGATGGTGCAACTTCTGAACCTAAGAGAGATGATCGATGGTGTTCTTATTGTAAAAGAACAGGTCATATCAAGGATCTATGCTTTCGCCTCCATGGAAAGCAAACTGTCTTAGAAAAGATGAATAAGATGCATGGTCAACAGCATTTTACTTCCTCTAAAATAAATTCTGCATTTCGTCCAGATGAGTTGGAACGGCTCCGAACCCTCCTTGATTCTTTAAGTAAGCCATCTGATACTAGTACTTTGACTATGACTGGTATGAGCTCCAAAACTTATTCTTTCATTTCTTCATGTAATGATTTTAAACATTCTTGGGTTGTTGATTCTGGTGCTACTGATCATATGGCTTGTTGTGCTGACTCCTTTACTTCTTATCATCCTACCATTGGAACTCATACAATAGCCGTAGCTGATGGCTCTCATACATCAGTTGCGGGTTCTGGTGACATAAACTTACAGCAGTCCTTACATCTTAAGGATGTTCTTCATGTTCCTAAACTCTCCACGAATCTTCTTTCGATTCATAAAATTACAAAAGATTTGAATTGTACTGTAACCTTCTATCCTACCCATTGTGTTTTTCAGGATCTCGCCACGGGGAAGACGATTGGTAGTGCTAAAGAGCAAGGTGGGTTGTACTATCTGGTGTCACAATCTCCTGCAAATAAAGTAACAGATCACATCTTGATGTCTCATGGTCAATCAACTGCTGATTCTTTGATTTGGCTTCATCATAAGCGCTTAGGTCATCCTCCATTTAGTTTACTCAAATCTTTATTTGCGTCATTGTTTTTGTCTAAGTCTGTTGAGTCTTTTCATTGTGATGTTTGTGAATTTGCTAAGCATCATCGTGTGTCTTTTCCTTCTAGTATTACTAAGAGTGTTGAACCTTTTGATCTTATTCATTTTGATGTTTGGGGTCCCTCTAAAGTCCCTCATGCTTCTGGAAATAGATGGTTTGTTTCTTTTATTGATGATTGCACTCGTGTAACTTGGGTGTACTTAATGCATGAAAAGTCTGAGGTACCACGACTGTTCTTTCAATTTTATAAAATGGTTGAGACCCAGTTTGGTAAAAAAATCAAGAGACTAAGAACAGATAATGGTACTGAATATGTTAATCATAGTTTTTCCCAATTTATAAGAAATAACGGTATGATTCATGAACTTACTTGTGTTGACACCCCCCAACAGAATGGGGTTGCTGAAAGAAAAAATCGCCACCTTCTTGAAGTGGCTCGTGCATTAATGTTTCAGACACATGTACCCAAATACTATTGGGGAGATGCTATTCTTACTGCAGCTTTCTTGATCAACCGTTTACCCACTCGTATACTTGACCATGTAAGTCCTATTCACTCTATGACTTCTTTTTTCCCTTCTATTCCAATTATGAGTCTTCCTCCACGTGTGTTTGGGTGTGTTGCTTTTGTTCATGTTCATAAACATCATCGCAGTAAGTTGGACCCTAGGGCTATTAAATGTGTTTTTCTTGGTTATGCTCCTGATAAGAAGGGCTACAAGTGCTATCACCCTAGTAGTAGGAAATTTTTTGTTTCTATGGATGTTACATTTCAGGAATCTGAGTCTTTTTTCCAAGGTCCTCATCTTCAGGGGGAGAATCCTTCACCAGAAATCTCATCACCTCCCTTCTTTGAGTTTGAATCTTCAGTGTCTACTCCTTTACCTGTGCCAGTGTATCCTCCTCTTAGTCCTGTTCCTCCTGTGTCTGTTCTTCCTGTGTCTGATCCTCCTGTGAGTAATCCCCCTGTGACTGATTCTCCTGTGATTGATACATCAAGTACACCAGAGATACGGAAGATTATGACACCTGAGTTGGTATATCAAAGAAGGAAACAGCCCACATTGCCTCAACAGCAACCTCAATCGTCTGAACCACTGGTAAGTCCTGAATCTCATATTTCTAATCATGATGTTAATACTTCTGATGTCTTACCCATTACTACTGATTCTGATGATTTACCCATTGCTCTTAGAAAAGGGAAAAGAGCTTGTGCCAAGAAATCTTGTCCCTCTTGTACTCAATACCCTATCTCCCATTTTGTTTCCTCTGCTAATCTTTCTGTGCAGCACAAAAGCTTTGTTTCAGCACTAGACTCTATTGCAATCCCAAAATCAGTACATGAAGCCTTGAAAGATGGGAATTGGGCTCAAGCCATGCAAGAGGAAATGAATGCGTTGGAGAAAAATAAAACATTGGAGGTTATTGATAGACCTAATGGAAAGAAAGCAGTAGGGTGCAGATGGGTTTATGCCCTGAAATATAATTCTGATGGAACTCTTGAGAGATACAAGGCTCGATTAGTTGCCAAAGGTTACACTCAAACCTATGGCATTGATTATAAAGAAACATTTGCTCCAGTTGCAAAGATGAATACGGTGAGAGTCTTGTTATCCCTTGCTGCCCATTACAATTGGGATATAAATCAATTTGATGTGAAAAATGCTTTCCTCAATGGTGAGTTAGAAGAAGAAGTCTACATGGAAATCCCGCCTGGTTTTGATTCTGTGAAGAGAGAAAATAAAGTTTGTAGATTAAAAAAGGCCTTGTATGGATTGAAGCAGTCACCTCGTGCCTGGTTTGGAAGGTTTACTAAGGTTATGATGACCTTAGGATACAGACAGAGTCAAGGAGATCACACTCTTTTCTTCAAGCACTCCCATAATGGGAAGCTTACTGTGCTCCTTGTATATGTTGATGATATTATTATCACAGGTGATGATTTTGTAGAAAAACAGATTCTGCAAACACGGCTTGCCTCTGAGTTTGAAGTCAAAGACCTTGGGAAACTGAGATATTTCCTAGGGATAGAAGTAGCTCATTCAAGGAAAGGAATTTTTATTAGCCAGAGGAAATATGTTCTTGATCTTCTCAAAGAAGCAGGAAAGCTCGGGTGTAAACCCTCTAATACTTCTATTGAGCAGAATCACAAGATAGGCTATGAAGAAGAGAGTCCTCCAGTTGATAAAGGACAATATCAACGGCTAGTTGGGAAATTGATATATCTGGCTCATACTAGACCAGATCTAGCTTATGCTGTTAGTGTTGTCAGTCAGTTTATGCACGATCCAAAGGTGAAACACATGCAAGCAGTAGAAAGAATTCTGCAGTATCTTAAAGCTACTCCTGGTAAAGGATTGTTATTCCGACGTGACGGCAATCTCTCTTTAGAAGTTTACACTAATGCTGATTATGCTGGATCCGTGACTGACCGTCGTTCTACCACTGGTTACTGCATGTTTCTTTGCGGTAACTTGGTGACATGGAGAAGTAAGAAACAAGATGTGGTCGCCAGATCAAGTGCAGAAGCTGAATTTCGAGCTATGGCTCAAGGCATTTGTGAGTTACTGTGGCTGAAAATTATACTTGATGATCTCAAAATAAAATGTGAGGGACCTATGAAGCTGCTATGTGACAATAAGTCCGCTATTTGTATAGCTCATAATCCGGTTCAACATGATCGGACTAAACATATTGAGGTCGACCGCCATTTCATCAAAGAGAAACTTGATAGCGGGTTGATTACCACTCCATACATTCCCACTGGGCGTCAATTAGCTGATCTATTGACAAAGGGACTTCCTTCAGACAGATTTCAAGAACTTACTAGCAAGCTGGGAATGATAAATATCTATTCCTCAGCTTGAGGGGGAGTGTTGTAAATATTTGTTATTTTATTATTATTATTAGTATTTGTTGTATTGGGCCAAGCCCATTAGGTTAAGAATTAGGTCAAGTATTAGGGTTTTCATTCTCTATAAATAGAGACCTCTTTGTACAGATTATTTACACAATTCAATAATATTTCAAATACCCTTTTCTTTCAAGTAGTAGCCACTACTGCACAAAGATAGAAAGAGAGAACCATTAAATCATCCATTCCTTATTCTAGTGGTAGAAAAAGAATAATAAATAAATAAATGAGTAAAAATCTTTAAGAAATACAAACCAAACTAATAAAATTTTTATCAAATGGATAAGAAACTCATATAGAGATATTAACATATTTAGGTATAAGGCTCGCAAGCTGGATCAACAGGAAAGGATCAAGGACATCTGATGTTTTCACTAAATGGAACACAAGAAATTACAGACTGTGTGTATTCTAATCCTTTCTTTTTCATACTATTAATGTTATACATTGCTTTTACAGCTCCAGAACTACCCATCTTCAAGTTATACAGTATTTCCTCTCACTTCAAGTGATACAGTATTTCCTCTTTAACATAAGCAATGTGCCAAGTTATCAATTTCTACATTGCTGAAGGCATCAACTTTCAACCAGATTGATATAATAATATACCTAGATGGAACTTTTCTTTCCAAAAACCTATACTTCTCAATAAGAGTTTTCCTGCCTCCATCAACATTATAGAAAACTAATGATGTTGGAAAAGGAGATATACTAAAAATTTTAACAATGTAAAATTAAACTCATCAGATTCAAGTAAATTTAACAATTACCTCCCACACGACCAACAGCTACAATAGAATGCACAGCCACAGCAGAAGGCTCGGGCAAAGCCATTATACCAATCACAAATAAGCCAATAGATGAGATTTTGTGTAAAGGCAGCAATTTCTCCCTAAGCCCTGGTAAACTTTGAATTGTCCGTTCAAAAACATTTGCTTTCCATCTATGCAAAAACCATAAAAATGAAAGTATCCCTTCACCCCTCCAAGCTGGCAGAAGATACTGTGCAGCTAAAGTTGTTGGAGCTACCATTACACCACTGGAAATCAAAGTCAACTGTCATCCAACCTAACATGTAATACGAAAGAGACGCAATTTAAAATAAAAAAAAGGACTAAGAATATCCCTAAATTTGTAAATAATCCACTAACATTTGCGAGAATGCCATGAAGGTAACTAAATATCGAACTGGGTCTTCCATAGACCCCCAAAAGCTTTTCTCATAAGGAACTGTCTCCACAGACATGCCTCCTGGAAATGGAGAAACAGGACCTTGCATTGCATATTTGTGAAATTTCCTCAAAACCCTAGGCAGCAAGAACCAAGCTATCATAGTAGCAATTAAAGTGCCACCAACTGGAATAACCACATTGTTAAGATATAGATGTGAATCAAACGGCTGAGCATATGTTGTCTCTACCTCACTCTTCCAAATATCTTCTATCTTCTCAGCCCAATCACCCGTAACAACAGAATCACCTGAACCAGAACCAGGAACAACTTCTGTACCACTTCCTTTGACACCCACAGATGATGAATACGTTCGGCTATTCAACACGTTGGAGGCAAAAGGAAGAGTACTCCGGAAGCAAAAGCTAGAGAATCTAGGATACAATGAGGCATTAGAAGCCAAATTACTAAACCGATTCTGAGAAATTCTTGTAAGGTTCATAGCCACACTGTAGTTAGCTAATTCCATGTTCAAGGAAAGATTGATTGAACTTTGTAGGCGTCTTAAAGAGAAAAAGCTAATAGCAGCCATTGTTAAGCAAATTAACAACTCAGCATTTGAAAGAAGATTTCAACCAAGTCCAGTAACGCCTCGATCTGCAAATTCAAGAAACTAACCACAATTCAATCACATCACCCTCAACATACTTAGATTAAATGAAAATTAAAAAGTAAAAAGAAACTCAGAATAATTGAATGAGTTGATAAACCCTAAAATAATTGAATCGATTTTCGTTAGTTTTCTAAGGAAACAAACAGAAACGGAAACCGCGAGAAAAAGAAGAGCAAGCAGTGTTGTAAAAATCGGACCGTTTCAGTGACCAGGTTGTCTCTGGAAGATTGAAGAGGCTTCAATATTCCGGCACCGATAACGTCCGATCAATCTTCGAAGAGGAAGGGGGAAGAAGAAATGACGAAGAAGAAGCGACGGCGGCTATTGTTTTTTGCAGAACTCTTGAGCGCATGGAAATGTTAACGGGAGTATTATAGGTTTTGTAAAATTTAGGCGGTTCAATCCTTTTTTCAACTTAATGGACCAGATGTAACTTATACAATCATTTTTCCGCAAGACTCGGTCTCTTAACCAGCCGAGCCGAGTTTTGGTTTTAACGGACTGAGCTTATGTTCAAATGTGTCAAACTCACTTTAGCTGACTTTTTCACCTTTTTACCCCTTATTAATTAATTAATAATCATTTTGCCCCTGATTCGAAACTATTTATCAATCTGCCCCTCTTTAGTCGACTACCTTGCATTTTTAATCGACTAAATGACCAAAACAGACAAAAAATAGCTACTGGGAGATTTAGTCGACTAAATCTCCCTATTTAGTCGACTAAATCTTCATATTTTACAAAAAAAAAAAAATAAGCCAGTATGATTTTAATCGATTAAGTAGAGAGATTTAGTCGATTAAATCTCCCAACAACCGTTTAGTCGATTAAAAATGCAAGGTAGTCGATTAAAGAAGGGCAGATTGATAGATAGTTTCGAATCAGGGGCAAAATGGTTATTAATTAATTAATAAGGGGCAAAAGGGTGAAAAAGCCCACTTTAGTCTGTTACTTGTTACGAATATATTATCAGCATGTGGCCTGGCTCATTTACAAAAAATAAAAGTCTTGGTTTAGCCTGTTTTAAAAAAATAAGACAACAAAAATTTACCCAAACAAAATTTACAATCAATAGCACTAGTAATTCCATAAATATTCATAAATTTTATATATATCCAAATAGCATAATATAAAATAAAATCATTCAAAAAGTCAGCTTTTGAACCATTTTATCCCTTATTAATTAAAAAATAATCATTTTGCTCCCGTTTCAAAACAATACCCTCGTCTACCCTTGTTTAATCGATTACAAGCACACTTAATCGATTAAGTGTCCAAAAAAAAAATATTTTAATCGATTACAAAATTCTTTTAATCGATTACATTTTCACCATCTTCGTCATAGCCATTTCACACCAACCAGCAAATTCATTCACTTTTTTACTAAAATTCCCAGCTTTGATTGGTGTTCCACGATAGAAGGAGAAGAGTAAGGAGGGGAAGGATTTAGCAAACTGGAGTAGAGAATTAAAGGGTAAGCATGAGATCCTTTGTTGTGTCCTTCGAAATGTCTTGCAAGAAGAAATCACAGTTGAAAAGATTACATTTCTGTTTTGCATTTGGTTTTAGATGCAGAAGACGCAGAAGAGCCAAGCAAAAGAAAATTTTCCTCACAACTTACATGTTAACTTCCATTGATACTTTTGTTGCAGAGCCTAAATCACCAAATTTGTAGCCTGTGTCTTCAAGTTTATCCAAACTAGTGCAGGTTTTTTCAGATCCAAATCCGATATCTCCACCCACATGTGAAGATCAACTTTGCTTTGTTTTTGGATGTGCATGCCCTTCTTTTCAATCTGTGCCTTTCTTTTTCTTTACGGTTGCCAAGACCAATAAGCAACCAGTTTTACTACTTTTTGTGTGTTTCAGAACTGGAAGATGGGAAATGGGTACCATTAATTCTGTATATAATATAATATGACGAAGATGGTGAAAACGTAATCGATTAAATTTTTTTTCGTAATCGATTAAAATATTTTTTTGGATATTTAATCAATTAAGTGTGCTTGTAATCGATTAAAGGGGCAGATGGGGGTATAGTTTTGAAATAGGGATAAAATGGTTATTTTTTAATTAATAAGGAATAAAAGGGTTAAAAAGCCCAAAAAGTATGTTTAATTAATAAAATGGGATGAAATAAATTGAGAAGAGAGAGAGTGCTATCACAAATAGTATAAAAAAAATTAAAAAATATATTAGGCAAGCCTGGGAGGCTCTAAGGCCGAGCTTTTGAATTGGAGCCTGAAGTCTTTTTATTAAACGAGCTTTTATATACCAAGTCTGGGTCCAACAATCAATTTTAGACATGTAAGCTCAGGCCTTCACGAGCCGAGTCAAAGGCCCATGGCTCGTTTAGCACCCCTACCCACAACAAACAAAGTAAATTATATGCTTGAATTTGATTTTGGGTTCATTCAGTTACTCTGCATATAAATTATTTGTATTAAGTTGAATACGATGTTATTTTCATGGTATTTTATAATTTTAATTTATTTCAGGATTATTATAGTCTTTATAATTATAATTTTTCAATAGGAAAACAATATCGTTTAGAAAATAAATGCAGATAACTTATCTGCAGTAACTGCAGAAATATTTTTCTCTTTTTTTTTGGTAAAATGTGATTTTATAAGAATAATTTATATTGAGAAATCTTTATCTCAATTTTTAATTCAGTAAAATAATATAATTTTTAAATATTTCAATATATATAATCAAGTTTTCAATTATAGAAGCAACATGACCTCATTATACTCAACAGATGTGTAATTTATTATTCTCATATTAGAATATTTAGAATTGGAATATTTTTTATAGGTATTTAAGTGTTTTTTAATATGAATTATAAATTTAATATACTTACCAAGTCAAGCGGGTCAACCAATGACCGACTGACCCGTACCTCAACCAGGTCAAAGATCGGGCCGAATTTAATAACATTGAGCAAGTGTACCTTAACAACAACATCTCAATAAATGGGATCTGCAAATTTTATTTTATTTTTGGTAAAGAGGATCTGTGATTTTCAATGACATAAAATTGTCATTCTAATCTAGTTGTGGAGCACATACAAGTTGCTAGGGGTGTTCATCAACCAATCTAAACTGATTCAAACCGCGATAACCGAATAAATCGAAAACCGAAAAATCAAAAACCGAAAAAAATAGCAAATTTTAATTGGATTGGATCGGTTTTCGGATGGGTTGATGAAAACCGATCCAATTCAAATCGATCTAATATATTAATTCCCCTCTACTTACATGGGCCTTTCTCCAATCATAACTCAAAATTATTTAAACCCAAGACCCGTTAACCCATCAACTAAACCCAAGAAAAAATCTAGTCACATCCCATCAACAAAATTTTATTTGTGTAGAGCTTCCTATCTCATTGCCCAAAAAAATAACTATATTATCGTTTACTGATGCTTTTGTATTTCAAAAAATAAATAATTTTACAAAGCCAATATATACCAAAGATGTTATTTGCACAATAATGATGAAACTAATTTTAGGATTTTCAAAAAACCGAAAATCGATCCAATCCAAACCGGAAAAAATTGGATTGGATCGGATTGGAATTGAAAAAAAATTCAAACCGAATGGATGATTACATGATCAAACCGAAGGGATTGGATCGGATGATTTTTGCTTCCAAAATCGATCCAATCCAGATCGCGAACACCCCTACAAGTTGCGAGCTGCTCGGGCCCGGGCTAAATTTTAACAAATTTTACTTATTATATATAATTATATAATATTAATTATAATTTGGCCTGAGTTAAAATTATAATTTGGTTTGCGCTAAAATTAAAATATATTTGGTGAGAAATTTGGATAGGTTGTATTAGTGTGTGCAATCCCCACTTGTATCCAAAAAAATTAAAATATGTTTAATAAAATTATAACTCTCTCGATTTAGGATTTTTCTGCCTCTTACCCTATTCTAAGGTCCGAGTCTCTCTCTAAGTATCGTGTCACATCAATTCCCATCAATTTGCTTAGTTTCATATTTTCTTTGTGGTCGACGATGAAAAAGTATCGTGTCACATAAATAATCTTGTGTTTTGTAATCTCAAATTGAAATTAAGTTCTCCGATTATTACCGTTTCCAAAGTAACTCAAGAGCAAGAGCTCTTCCCCTAAACACTTATGTCATTTGTTGAAGAATTTCAAGCCATTAACCTATTTCCTCCCCCTTTCTTTTTGTCTATTTCTTTTTCATTTTACACAAATTTTAGGGTTCAATTATGTATTTGTGTTTTCAGTTTTGATTAATTAACGATTTGCATTTCTTTCTTTTTTTTCCTCAGCATATTTGGATTCACTACTCGTTATTCTTCGAAAGAAGTATGCGTTGTTGCTTGACTTAGATAAGAGTTTACAGGGTAATATTAATTTTTATTTTTATTTTATTTTGGCTTCGTACATTAAAGAAAGCATGATTATTTTTATTTTTATTTATTTATTTTGGTTCTTTGATCATATATCATAGTAAGAAAAAAAATACCAATAAAATTTCTAAGAATGTTGTTGTATGGGTTTTAGTGGGTCTAATCAATTTCAGTGGCTCCGTGGGTCAAATAGAGTGTTTCAGTAGTATGATAACGGTTGGGATAACAGATAACCGGTAACTATATTGAGCTTCCTATGGAATTGTATTGTCCTTTGTGCGCACATGACTTCTGCCAAGGTTGTCGAGTTTTAGAAAAAATTTGGTTGAATTGTTAATTAAAGCATTTCCATACGGACTCAAAATATTCAAAATTTTAAAATTTATCTTCAATTTCTGAATTGTGTTAAAGATTAGCTAAGACAGAAAAGTCAAATTCTTATCATTTGGTTGATGTGCTAATTCGTCTTATCTTAACACTACTAGTTTCAATATTAGGTAGTGAACGTTCATTCTCAGCCATAAAA